GGGCTTATACATAGGAACCACGCACACCCGTGAGCTAGGTTTGAACTCATTAGGACCTACGTGAACGGGGAACATACTCTTAAAATTCCAGTCTTCTCGCTTTTCAGGTCCCTGAGCTAGCAACTTACCCGAAAAAAAATTTCACGGGCCCGTACATGGGAACCACGCATACGTGGGGGTTGGGTTTGAGCTCATTAGTACCCACATGGACAGGGAACATACTCTTAAAATTCCGGTCTTCTAGCTCCTCAGGTGCCCGAGTTAATAACTTACCCAAAAAAACTTTCACGAGCCCGTACGTGGGAACCACGCATACTCAGGGGCTGGGTTTGAGCTCGTTGATACCTGTATAGATGAAAAATATCTCCTCAAAATTTCAGCTTTCTAGTTTTCCTGGTTCCCGAGTTAGCAGTTTTCCTGCCAAAAGCTTTGGCGGGCCCGTACTTGCGTATCACGCGGTTAAGACCGCCTATTGTGGGGATTGGGACCTGTACATGCATGTGGATTAAGTTTCCAAAGTTCCAGCCCTGTAGCTTTTAGAGGTCTTGAGGTGAAAAATCGGTACAGACGCACACACAGACACGCAAATGCACAGACACACATACAGATACCCCCTCGTCAATATGCGTTTTCTGCATTGCATAGATGCAAAAAAGCATAATAAAAATAAAAGTTGCACGAGTCTAACAGACGACAGTATGAAAAATACTTTGAGATTCTATGTCAGTGATATAAATCCAGATTTCAACAATCTTGTATCAAAAGTTTAAGCCCAGAAGTCACACTAACCTGCTGTTGTTTTTTTTTTTTTTTCTTTTTTTTACTGAATGAACGACCTTTTTGCATTTTAATGCGTTTTTGCATCATGTACAAATGCAAAACTCATAATTTCGAGAGAATTTGTGTCATCAGAATCGAGTGAACTTTGTCACTCACTTTCAGCTCAGCAGCAGGGACAACCACGGTTCAGTACTACCGTTCCAGCTTTTCCACCGCATGGAAGAAAAGACCAAAACAGAGGCGCGTGGGTTGCACGTGTTAAACTGTAGAGCAACAACCATTGATACTGTTAACGATCTGACTGCGACAAGTTTAGCGCCAAAACGCATGATCGCACAGGCAGTACTGGCGCGTTGCTACCGGGTTTTATTAAAAGGTGGCCCGCGAGCTTAAATGTGTAAATCAGGCCCGCGTGTCGCCGGATGTTGCCCATGCTTAGTTTAGATAAAAAAAAAAAGAAGAATAAATAACCTGAGGGATGGCAGCTCGGAGCCGCCGTAAGAAGAAAGTGTGGAAGTACGCACATTAAGAAATTGTGGCGATTACAGAACTAATGGCCGTTGCATCGTAAACAGTCATACAAATGCAGTCATTGCAATTCAAGCTTCCTGCATGAAAGTAATTTGAAGGCGCACATGCGAATTTATACTGATGAAAAGCCACACAAATGCAGTCACTGCAATTCAAGCTTCGTGCGGAAAAGTAATCTGCAGCTGCACATGCGAACTCATACTATTGAGAAGCTTGAAAAAATTGCCAGTTTGCGATAAGTGGGTGAGCGGCAAAGCTACTTCTTTCGGCATCAAGAAACCCGCACCGGCAAAAACCAAACAAATTCAGATTTTGCACTACAGCGGTGACCAAATAAAATGCAGCTTTCTTGGGCAAATCGTGAAGGCTGGGAAAATGTTTTTGCCAGTATTGTTGAAATCGCTCAGAAATCATTGTATCTTATTTCAGTGATATCACTTTTATACGCTCACATTTCGCTTGATGACCCTAGGCTGTATGCTTCCATTAGTGTTCATCGCCTATTTGATGTATATGTCCCTAAGATTATCAGAAGTGCCCGTAGGCTAAAATTTCGCCAAGATTCACAGTGCTTTAGCCAGCACCCCTCTTCTCCTAAATATGGAGCTCGAAAAATGCATTCAAAACAGCGTGCATTGGGTAGAAAAGCTTATTCTGATAAATGCGATAAAATGTGGAGTATTTTTAGAAAGGGACCGGTTATGAAAGTTGAAGGAATGCTCTTCTGCTTACTCATCTTTTTCTTGCAAAACGTGGATGATGCAGCAAAAAACAAGTTCTTTTAAATTCAACGCAGTTTCCGATTATAATTGAAAAAAGTTGCAATGACGTGTTTAGCAAAACGAAGAAAAAGTAGACTTGAGAGGATATTTAAAACATGCCGAGGCTTGAGAACGTTCAGCAGTAGAACGTTCAGCTCAATTTGGCACTGAGCTGGAAGTTACGATATGATGTTTAATGGTGGCACGCTCAGTCAGTGGATCCAGAATTTACAACTGTCAGGCTGAGTATAGAGATTTCTAAACACAGAGTATTAAACTGGTCTCGAGACGCTCCATCACCTCATAACACTGTTTGATCTTTTTGCCTCCATTTCCAAAGCTCAAGCCTTTGGCATTCTTGATTACACCAAGAGATGCATGAGCGATGCAGCAGAGTTGACGTGGCCACGAAGAAATGTTCTGAAGATACACAGGAGCATGTATTT